GATTTATAATCGAAACTAGATAATTCAAATTAAATGTTTCACTTTTCTTAGCTTTTTAATCAGTTTCTGGTTTTCAAATCAGTCGAAAAAACGAATGGTTAAAAAGGCGTTTTGGTCCTATGTATATCCGAAATTTATTGTACAGACAGGATGTATGATAACTTCTGTAAACAGATTTTCAGCATTTTTAAAACTTTTTGATGATATAAAAATATGATAAAAAAAACATTTTATAAAAAGTTCGGCGTTCGGTCAAAATTTCGCCGAACACCCAACATTGACTGAACCTCATTTTTTACCGAACTCTGAACCCGAACTAAAAATTTCCTTTTTATAGAAAGTTTCTGCGAAACAAGTTTGTTAATTTTTTGAAAACGTTCGTATTTCAATGTAACCTATAAAAATTTGAATAATCTAATAGTTTGCCAGATATTATTTATTTGGGAGGTGCCAAACCCCAAAAGTTCTACCTTTGTGGAAAGTACTAATAAAAAGAGTATCATTTTCCCCCTTTTAGTCTTGGAAAATTAGGTTTACAAAATATTCCGTGTTTAAATCTATATATCACAGATAAAACTCAAACGATTCAAATCTGCATTCATTTGTTCCAGAAAAATTGTACTTTCAAAAGGTACTAAATAATTAACCCGAAATTGGTCCTATATACCCTTAGTACCCGAATTCCAAAATTATGTACCAATAGCTTATTTTCAATACATATTACAGAGTTAGTACGTAATTCAATAGATATACATCAATAAGTCCAAAAAGTGTTCTTAATGTGCTAAAAAAAAGTACCAAAAAATACAGTTTTTTCCCTTTTACATTCAAAAAGGACTGAATTTTAAGAAAATACGAAACTGGAGTCTCATAATTTGGAAGATATATCTAATATATTTACAAAAATTGTATTTAGTTTATTAGTTAAAAAGTTATAAAGAGCCAAAAATGTACCAACATTACATTTATTACACATTTTCATCCCTTAAAAGTACCAGACACCCATCTGCTCATTTTAAGAGTAGATACTGGTGCATTTAAAATTTTTCTTCTTTCACTAAAATTGTGTAATAAAATTATGAAAAAATTTTTATAAATTTTATATAGAAACTTTTTATAGAAAATTTGTAAATAATTTTTTGTAAAAATTTCGTATAATATTTTTCTTTTTATAGAAAATGTTCGATAATATTTTTTTCTACAAAATTTTTGATGCGATCTTTTGCAAATTTTTCATAAATTTGTTGTTCTTGCTGAGAAAAGTGTCTTTCTTATTGAATGAAATGCAGCCTAAAGTAACAACAAGTTTAAAATTTCTCAGACATACCTTGAATGTATTTCGCTTTTGTTTTTATAGTTTTTTCTGCAGTATTTTTCACTTTTATTTCGTTTGTTGGTTTTTTACAATTTTTTGTATTTGAACAATTGTCAAGTGTGGTTTCTACTTAATAAGAAATCTTACTTGTAATTGTACACTCTCACAGACAAATGTCCCCGCAGTTCTTGAAATTAGTAAAAAAAAACAATTGTTCCCAAACTTTTATTTTTTATAATGCTTTCATTATTTCAAATGCAATATATCAAAATATCTGGGTCGTGTTTAGGTATACCCATCGAAACTGGTTTTTACAAATCCTGGGATTTGGGAAACTATAATCTCGGGGTAACGTGATTCTTCGTTTTAGTAGTTTTTGAACTAGTTAAACTTAATGCGTAAGGTAAAGTATGAATGAATCGTATATTCTCATAAGACCATGACTCAAGCCCTAGTTATAGCAGCTATAAATAGCCCAGATACAAGTGAAATTCGCCAGCTTTGAATCGACAGGGTCTCTTTCTCTTTCTCTCTCTGACATAAACACACATAAGCAAGTGGGCAGTCATACATAAAATCTTAATTATTTGTACAATAGATAGGATTATTAAGGTCATGAATTTGTCCTGTAAGAGATAGAGCATGTTGTTTTTTCTTTTCTTTGATTTTATTTTTTTATTCCCTTTTGTAACCAACTTTTTTCACTTTATTCTTATGGTTTCTTTTGCTATATGTTTTTTTATTTTTTTTTTTTTTTTGTATTAATACTTGAAATTACTTGTTAATTGTTGTATGAGAGTTTTTTTTCTCGTTTTTTTATTATTAAATCCTTCTTGCTTTATTTGTGTCTCTTAAGACTGCTGCATTTGTGTGAAGTTATAAAGCTTAATGCGGTGAATTGTATTTATGGGTCATTTGCAATTAAATATGGTTTAATTGGGAAAAAGTGTATTATCGTTATTATTGTGTGTGGACTTTAAATTGGAAAAAAAAGGAAGCTTATGCTAAGGTAACTACAATACCTGTTATAACAAATTAAGAAATAACAAGTATATATCAATGAAAAAAGACTTTAGTTTAAGCCACTTCTGAAGTATTGATTTTTAAGCTTTTCTGTATCTTTTATAGATTTTTTTTCAAAACTTCTTTGCACAATTGCAATTTATTAACCTACAAGAGTTACAGTAATTCCTTGTCTTCCTTAACATCATTAACAAACTCTAGTGACATAATATTTTTTTTTTACTTGCTTACCAGCCAACTTTATTTTATCGTACATTTTATAGTTTTCTATAAAAAATATGAAATTTATAAAAATTAGTGGTAAAATACAACAGCATGCCAGCATAGTAAAAACAGTGATAAACATAGAGCAAATTTTCCTACAAGTTTTTAATATTTATTATTTATAATTTTTAATACTACAACTCTAAAATACAAACACTTCCATACCACACACACACATTGATTTAACTCTCTTAACTTTTCCCCAGTAGAGAAAATTAAGAAAAACTTGTTCAAAAACTATTTGTTTGTTGTCATAATAAACTTCAAATGAAGGCTGCAGCACACCTTTCAAAAGAAGCTCCAAAGGGGAAAGATTTTTTTATAACAACTTCTGGTTACTGTTCCACCTTCCATAAAAATAAATATTTTTCTTTGCTTATGGCTTTTTTCACTTTTCATATTTTTATTTAATTTTAGTAGTTATTCCTTTTTCTTAATTTTTAAAAGCAACAACAAATGACTCTATTTCTTGATTTATACTTTGGTCATTAAAGCAAAAAAGTTTTCTTTTTTTTAAGTTTTTATTTCTTTTAAAGAGAAAGTAATCTTTGCTTATTGCTGTTGTTGTTACAAAACTAAAAAACAACTTACTTCTTAAAAATAACAACTGCAAGATAAAATAGTAAAAAAAAAACCATTTGTCGAGAAAAAAAATAATGCACTTTATGTTAAAATAATAACAAACTTTTCTATATAGAGAATCATATAATCAATTTATTTTTTTTATTTCTTCTTCTATCAAAAAGATCATAAAAAAAGTAATTTTAAAACTTAAAAATAAAAAAACGAAACTTTGGCTAAAGAAAAACTAGAGCAAATGGTCAATATATTGACGATTTATGAAAACAATTTTTTTTTTTTTTGTTGGCCACCAACAAATGGTCAATGTACAGAGAGAAAAAATTATCGGTAATTTTCTATAGAAAAGGAAAATTTATTGAAAATTTTCTATAGAAAAGGAAAATTTATTGAAAATTTTCTATAGAAAAGAAAAATTTATTGGAAATTTTCTATAGAAAATTAAAATTTATTGAAAATTTTCTATAGAAAAGGAACATTTATTGAAAATTTTTTATAGAAAAAGAAAATTTATTGAATATTTTCTTTAGAAAAGGAAAATTTATTGAAAATATTCTATAGAAAAGGAAAATTTTCTATAGAAAAAGAAAATTTATTGAAAATTTTGTATAGAAAAAGAAAATTTATTAAATATTTTCTACAGAAAAGGAAAATTTATTGAAAATTTTCTATAGAAAAGGAAAATTTATTAAAAATTTTCCATAGAAGAGGGAAATTTATTGAATATTTTCTATAGAAAAGGAAAATTTATTGAACATTTTCTATAGAAATGGAAATTTATTGAAAATTTTCTACAGAAAAGAAAAATTTATTGAAAATTTTCTATAAAAAGAAAATTTATCGAAAATTTTCTGTAAAAAGAAAACTTATGGAAAATTTTCTATAAAAAGAAAACTTATCGAAAAATGTCTATAAAAAGAAAACTTATCGAAAATTTTCTATAGAAAGAAAACTTATCGCAAATATTCTAAGAAAGAAAACTTATCAAAAATTTTCTATAGAAAGAAAACTTATCGAAAATTTTTAATAGAAAGAAAACTTATCGAAAATTTTCTATAGAACGAAAATTTCCTATAAAAAGAAAACTTATCGAAAATTTCCTGTAGAATGAAAACTTATCGAAAATTTTCTATAAAAAGAAAAGTAATGGAAAATTTTCTATAAAAAGAAAACTTATCGAAAATTTTCTATAAAAAGAAAACTTATCGAAACTTTTCTATAAAAAAACTTATCGAAAATTTCCTATAGAAATAAAACTTATCGAAAATTTTCTATAAGAAATAAAACTTATCGAAAATTTTCTATAAGAAAGAAAACTTATCGAAAATTTTCTATAAAAAGAAAACTAATCGAAAATCTTCTATAAAAAGAAAATTTATCGAAAATTTTCCATAAAAAAAAATTATCGAAAATTTTCCATAGAAAAGAAAATTTATCGAAAATTTTCCATAGAAAAGAAAATTTTTCGAATATTTTCCATAGAAAAGAAAATTTATCGAAAATTTTCTATGGAAAAGAAAATTTATCGAATTTTTCTATAAAATGAACATTCTTCGAAAATTTTCTATAAAATGAAAATTGCTCAAACATTTTCTACAAAAAGAAAATTCTTCAAAAATTTTCTATAAAAAGAAAATTTTTCGAACAGTTTCTATAAAAATAAAATTTTCTGTTTAAAGATTTCTGAAACTTATAAACTTTTGAAAGCTGTTCAAATTTTCGCTCACGATCCAATTTAAATTTTTAATTTGTAAAATATGTTTTTATGGATGATTTTTATATAGATAATATAATGATTTACAATTTGCTCAACTTACCGTTTTTTTTATTCGAAGAAAACTTTTACAAAATCAAAATTTATTATTTGTATTCTTATATCAGCCCTTTATTGAAATGGTGCATAGTGTTGTTGTCTCTGTAGCAGGGTTTGTCACCATAAACCAAACTTGCGCGATTGAATCTGGGGTTTGACACTCAAAATTGGTGTTGTTCTTGACGGTGAAGAAGTCGAGCAGGGTAACGAGGGCGGTGATGACGACGTTAATGCACTCAAGTGGGGCTGGTATCTCTGCTGGGGCTGCTGCTTATAATGCACCACACACTCATCTTCCATGGAGGTTTGACTATCGCCCATGGCATCCTGATAGTCCACCGTTTGTATTTGAGTCAAATTTAAAAGTTCCATGGGCAGAAGTTCCGACTGCATGGCCTGGGCAAATTGACCAGAATCTGGTGTCATTTCGATATAAAATGATTCATCATCTAAAATTGCTGAGGAAGAGGCCGAAGCTGTTGAGGTGGTGGTAGTAGAGGACTGGGATAGAGATCTGGAATTGTTCAGGACTATAGAATGACTTAAAGGTTGTGGCTTAAAATTGGTGGCAGATGTTTTCACAGTGGCAGGTTTTTCAGTGGCCGAAGTTTTTTGTAGTTCTCGTACATGTAAATTGTGCAAAGGAGAATTGTAGGGAGCTTCCAGGCGAGTGCTGTGATGCCATTTTTGCATACCCTCACTATAGCTTAAAAAGCTGTGGGAGTCATCGTCCAAAGTATGATTTTGTCTTTGATGGGGTCGTAAATGATAGCTGGGAGAGTGGCGACGCCAGGGCATATCACAACGATAAACGTGCATGAGACCGAGTAGTAAAACTAAAAAGAGGCCCGATGACACCAGCAGTATTAAACCCGGATGATTCTCTTTACTCTCTGCCCGGCGCAAATCCGACCATTGTTCGGTTTTGGTAAGTTTTGCATGTGTTTCGGCCTGTTGATCCTGCAGAATTTGCTGTATCAATAACTCGTGTTCGTGTTGAAAAGTATGCGGCTGTTGCAACAAGTTGGCTGCCTGCCGGTTGTCCTGATTTTTGTTGTTGCTGTTGATGGGTGTATTCACAGTGCTGTGTTTTACTGAGTGTGTTTGAGAGTCATCCTTTTCTAGCGTTGTGGCAAGGGGTTTTAATTCCTGATAGTGAGAGTTATCAAACTGTTTGGCATGTACCTCATTTTCCAAGGGCTCAGCTGCTGGGTTATACTGTTTAGCTTCATGTTGTTTCGTTATAATGGTCATTTTCTTCATAATCAGAGAAGGTTTTTTGGTTTTCATTTCATAATTGGGTTTTTGAATTTTTCCCAAATCATCTTGCCTTGCAGCAGGATCTTCTAGTTTAATGTCCTCTTGGCCTTTTTTATTAGTTGATTTGTTTATATTGTGTTCTATCTTTATAGGTTTGTTTAGAGTTGTTTTTGTTGCTGCTATGACTGTAGCTGGTGTCCCGGTCGTTTGGCTTAATTCCAAATTCTGTTTATTTTTATTATCGCTTGCCATTGTATTGGTCTCTAAGTCATGTTGGGCTTTGCTGTTGTTGTTGTTGTTATCATCTTCCTGTTCAGCATTATGGTTGTTGTTTGGCAAGATAAGTTCATCGGCTGTAACCATAAGATTCTCTCCTTTGTGCATTAGTAGTGGTGTGCCGATTAAATGTCTGTCCTTAACAAGCAATTGTATGGGTTCATGTTTATGTATGACTGTCGTAGTTTCTGATGTTGCTGTTGGAATTTCTGTTGTGGTTTTACTAACGATTGTCTGTTCCAATGTGTCTTCCATAGTTGGCGTTCTACCAAGCTCATTTTGTGTTTCTCTACTACTAGTTGTTGTTGTTGTTACTGCCGAATTGCATTCTATAAAAATACCAGAGTATACAAATTTATTTAAATTTACATTTATTTGTAGTTACTTCTAAGTGAAATTTATGAAAATGTCAGTCAGTCACTATCATTTAGGCTGGTGTACGTTTGTCTGTTTTTTTTTTTTTTGCTTTTAAAACTCTTTTCATGTTGGTTGTAAATTGTATATTTTAAATGGCTGTAAAGGATTTTTTATGATTATTATGAAAATAAATGTTTGCTTGTTCGTATAGTATCTTTTTGTTTGCATTTTTAGATTAGATTCATATAATGTGTTTTTTGGCCTGGTAAAATAAAGATACACAAACAGGGAGGGAGATAGAATCACAATGACCCTTATAAAATTATATTTTATGTTTGAAATTAAAATACGAACATGATTCATAAACATTATTAGATATGTAATTAGACTTATAAAAGATTTTTAATCTAGGTTGCTGAGGAGAAAGAGATTTGCTGAAATTATGAAAATTGCATTTTATGTTGTGAAAAATATTTTTTTGAGATTTTTATATTTTTTGAGTTTTAAATACAGATTTGTGGTTATCGCTATTTTCCTTAGAGACTCATTACTAAATGAAAATAATAAGTTTCTTGTAATTTTTTAAAAATTCCTCAACACTTAATCTATGTTTTCCTTTTCTTTTAGGTAAGCAATGTGAATTGACTGTGACTGAGGAAGTTTCAGTTTGGAGTCAAACTATGACCTAGTAATTATTAGTATAATTCGAAAGTAAGTTTTACACAATAATCGTACCAAAACCACTTTTTTCAAAACAAAACCGATGCATATTACACAGATCTATCATATTATGAATTTATAAAAACGTTGTCATCAACACCAAGAGAGCTAGTTATACCGTATTTCGATTCGAATGATGAAAAAGCTTTCAAAACACAAAGTATTTAACTGACAAGTTCAAATATTTTTGCTTTCGAATCGAGTTGTAGAGTAAAACACCTGTTTAAAGGCCATCATTATGTTAATATCGATTTGAAATCGATGACTGCGATGAAGACTTTCTGCAATCTCTTTTCTAGTTAAAGGATTTAAACAGGATTTGAATTAAAGCGCTCTCGGCCGAAAACTGTCTGTTTCGGAAATATTTACTAAGAGAAGCCGTTGTTGCAAATAACATAGAGTAGAAAATGCTTGCGCCCGGTCGTAGACCGGCTATTTGGAAAACATATTATAGAGTAGAAAATTTTTGCGTCCGTTCGTAGTTCGGCTATTTCGAAAATATTTAATAAACGAAGCCGTTGTTGGACATATCATGGTGCCAGGCCGTAGACAGTCTAATTTGCAAATCATTATTATGCAATTAAACTGAAATGTATTAAACTTTGTACCCCCCGCCCTCTCGAAAGTAGGCGTAACCGAAAAACAAATGTCATAGCATTTATCCTCTTAAAAAGCTCTATTTTGTGATGATTTTTTTGAGAAATTTCACTAAAAGCGACTTATTTAATAATATGTCCAGAATAATATCTCCAGATGTCGAATTTTTCGACATATTTTTAAATTGGGAAGTTATTTCATGTAGTTGGGACTTTTTTCTTTTTACAAGTGATATTCATGTAATTTTGACGGACGGACGGGCGAACGGACATGACTTAACCGTTCCATGCCGATGACCAATATTTTTTTGCGTTATAAACGTTAGCACAAACCCAGTATACAACTAAAGAAGTGTAGGGTATAAATATTTGAACCTTTAAAAATTTATTCGTCTGCAATTTCGCTTACGTTGATACCCTGTTTCACGGCAATATAACCATCAATGGGACCAATATGGTCAATAATGTTCCATGTTCCAAATGACATTACTTAACCGTTCCAAGCCGATGACCAAAATTTTTGTGCGTTATAAACATCAGCACAAAACCAGTGTACCACTAAAGAAGTGTAGGTTATAAATATTTTAACCATTCAACACCTATTCGTCAATATAACCATCAATGGGACCAATAAGGTCAATATTGTTCCACATTTTCGCATCCCCCGGAAAAATTTTGTAACTGTTATAACTGTTTTAAAAATAACAGTTTAAAAAAAAATTCGAAAAGGTACCAAAATCGCTCTATCAAATTTTATGACGATCGATCCATAATCATCCGTACCACATATATAACATCCCCTTCAGAGAATTGCTTTAATCGTTTAAAACTAAAAGTTTAATGTAAACGAAAATCTCTGTACCTAATTTTATGAATAATGGTCCATAATTGATCCATATAAGGTTCCCTTCAAAAAATTACTTTAGCGCTCATTACTGGCTTCATAATTCGAGTACAGCTATTTGACATAAACATGTTTAATACATACGAAGATCTGTCTAGCAAATTTTATGAGGATCGTTCCATAATTGACCCTACCGCCCATATAAGGCCCCCTTCACAGAAATAAGGGTCGGTCTATAATTCACCATACCTCATATAACACTTCTTACAGTTTGTGGTTATTCATTCGATTCCACGCGGTTCTTCATTGGATAGGGGAGCATCATATATGTATATGTTTACGATATATGATTTTATGGTGGGTATATAACACTCTGACTTGTTAGCGCTAGTTTTAAGAAAAAGTTTTTTATTATTAAATTTATTTATGTCTGAAATTATTATTCTTCAAGTATTATGATTTTTTCTATAATTTTCCTCAAAATTCTTTGGTCATTTCCTTAAGTATGTCAACAGTTTTTTACTTTCTATATGTTTTCGTTATTTTTTAACCAAATTCAAGTGTATAAATAAATCTAAAATTTATACATATTTTTTTTTTTTTTTTTATAAATAAAGTTGTGTATTCTTCAGAGCAGATACATTGTTATTGTTGTCGGTTTTAAATACTACTTACCATTGGAATTTGATTGCATACATTTAACATTGACATCCTTTTCTAAAGACTGATGATAATGTGGCATTACAATATCTGAGATATGAGCTGGATTGTGCTGTTGCTGTTGTTGCTGCTGCTGGTGGTCGACAATGTTGTTGATGGCCATAGTAGTTGCTGCTGATGCAGTTGAGTTAGTAGTTGTAATATCAAATGTCTTTGCAATTTGATTGTTTTTATTATTTCCACTTGTAGTTGTACTGCTGGTGATGATGGTGCTGCTGGTAATGTTACTATTTGTTGTAGTTTCTATTAAAATCTTGTTGTTTTTATTTATAGTTTTAGATATTTGTCTATTTTTGTCATTGTAATTTGATGCTAAATCTTTATCTTTAACCAGAGTAGTAGGGATAGTTGTTGCTGTTGTTTTTGGCTCAATTGTCTTGAATGTTTTTAATATTGCTGCAGTAGTACTTGTAGTTGTTTCTACTGCATGTTTCTCTTCTTTTAATGGTTTGTCGGTTGTTGATTTTGTTGCTGTTGTAGTAGTTTTATTGTTAGGAAAATTTTTTGTCATTGTTTGTGTAGTCGAGAGATGCGAGTTAGTTGTTGTGGTGATGCTGTGGGTGGTTTGTGTAAATCCATTCAACTCTTTATTGGGTTTTTCTAAATTGGCTGTTAGTTCCGGGGAAAAAATTAATGCTTTTTCAGATATTCTTTTGTTTGTTGTTGCGGACTCAAGTAGAGCTTTTATAGTTGTTGCCGTTGTTGTAACTACTGTGTCAGTTAGTTTTGTTTGCATACTTTTGGGGTTTATTGTTGCTGAAGATTTAATCTCTTTTGTAGTGGCATTTTTTGTTTTAATTTCATGCTGTTGTTTTTCGTTACGTTCAAGATTTATCTCCAATTTGCTTGTTGTACTTTCAAAATCTAAAACATCTACATCTTTTTCTTGTGGCACCCCTTCACCAGCCCATCTCTGCGCATCCTTGACAAGTTTGTTTTCCTGCTTTGTTTGTATGAATGCTTCAGCCATTGTTGTGGTTGTTAGTGCCGCCGATGTTGGTGTTGGGGGGACTATTGTGGTTGCTTGTGTTTCAGAATTTATTGGCGTAGCAAATGTTGTCGATTTTATAAATTGTGCTGCATTTATATCTTTAGTTTTGTCCTGCTTTAACAAAATTTCCATGTTTTGTGGCATTTCTATGTCATCCCCACCTTTTAGTGGGGTTGTTTGTTTCAGCCACTTTTTCGATTTTTTTGTTCGAAAAGTTGTTCTATGTTGCACATCTTCAAGTTGTTGTTCTGCTTCTTTAGTATGTTTTAGCACAGCTTTAACTACTTCTGTCATATTTGAAGAACTTACTGTTGGAGTATTTCCTATTGATGCAATTTCATGTTGTTGTATGACTGCTGCCGACGTTGTTGTGGCAACAGCATCTGCATTTGCAGTCAAGTGATCAAATGTTTTCATTTCGTTTGTAAATGTAGGTTTAACAACAATGTCTTCTTCCTCTGGCCCCTCATTTCCTGCAGTCTTTAGTTTGTTGGAAATGGTAGCGATGACTGAAGTTGATGCAACAACAGTTGTTGTAGTGGTTGCATTCGAGTTAAAACTTTTTGTGGTTGTATTAGGGGTTTGTTTTTCATTTAAAATGCTTGACTGCATTGTTGCTGGCAAAGTTTGTATGGGATTTTCTATGGTAATTGTTTTTACTGCAGTTTCATCTTCAAGTTTTTGTTGCAGCTCTTCTACGCTTTCAACTGCCTTGCGTCTTCTTTCTGTATCTGTTTGATTATTATTGTGTTGTCTTGAAGTTTTTTCGACAGTAGCTGCTGTTGTTGTTGATAATAACGGACTGGAATTCATAGAATTTTGATTAAAGTTTGTTTCCTCCAATGGTTTATTTAAGGCAAGAGATGTTGACTTGAATTTCTTTTTATCTCCAATCTCTAGATTTTGGTTCTTAACTATGTTTTGCACAGAATTCTCTTGTACACAAGCGGGAGGTTTTAAGTCATTCAATAATCTGTTATTCAGCGTAGAAGTATTTAAACCAAATTGTTCGTAAAAGTTATGCATTTTTTCAAATTTATTCTTTAAATCTTGTATTTTAATTACAAAATTTTCTTGTTCATCCTGCTCATCCTCACCTTCCTGCTCCTTTTCCACCCTTAAACGACAGGTGCTGGCCCATTCGGCTATACCCAAGAGATCAGCACATTTAATGGGATTATCCTCCAGCATTAGATCATTTAACTTTGGCAAAGAGTGTATAATACCCTGACTTATACCTCTTATTTCCGAGGATTGTAGATTTAGTGTCTGTAATTTTGGCAGCATAATATCAGGCAAATACAGCAGTTTATTGTGTGACAAATCTAATGTTTTTAAGTTATTAAGACCCTGAAAAGCCTGTTGAGGTATTTCCATTATATCATTATTTTGTAAAAATAAATGCTCCAGTGAAATGGGTAGACTAATGGGTACTTTGCTTAATTTATTGTGATCTAACATGAGAATCTCTAAAATTTCCAAGCGGCCCAAGGCATCATCTTCAATATGCTCTATGTGGCTAAATGATAAATCCAAGTATTGTAATAAGGGATAACTGTCTAAATCGCCACAGTTGATGACCTGCAAGAAGAGGAAATTATGAGAAATTGTTAAATATATATGAAAAATAAAAAACATATTAATTTCTTATGACTTCAAAATATTTCATAAGTAATTTAATAAAATACATTAATAAAATTTCCTCGAAACTGATTGAGCTTTTTCTCACAAAATATAATTTTTGTTCAAGCTTATATGTCTAACACTCATCTGCTTATAATCAAATTTTCTCTTTGACTTCCTGTTTTTTTTTATTTTTACTCGCTTCCTCTACCTCTACACTCTTTAAGACGAAAGGAAAAACTCAAAATTACAGAAAAACGTAAACGCTGGAGCTTTTGAAGAAACCAAAAAATTTATCATTTATTTAATTAAACCTCAACCAATTTACAGTTCTATAAGAGACCATCTCTCCCATACGCAAGCATAGCATACAATTGGGAGGGTGTTTGGTTGGTTGGTTCTGCAATGGAAGTTTGTGGTTTTAATTGTACTTTTAAACTTCCATATATCCGACACAGTTATAAGTAGAAACCCAAACCAAGGAAGGCAAACACGAAAACAATTTTTTAACACAATTTGGTTGTGTTGCTTTAGGGTCTGTATTTTTTCGGTTTTGTTTGCTTTCTTGAGATTTTTTCTTACCCGAGTCCTGGAGTATGTTTGTTAGAAGTGTGTGTGTGTAAATTTGCAACGTAGCAATAGGGTTTGAGTATATAAAGTTATTTGCTGACAGTGATGTAAACTTTAAAAAAATTGCCAAATATAAGAGGAAGTTATAGAAAGAACTAAATTCTAGTCTTTAGTCTGGACTATAGTCATGTCTGTAGTCTGATCTATAGTCTGGACTATAGCTTTGTCTGAAGTTTGGGCTATAGTCATGTATATAGTCTGGACTATAGTCATGTTTATAATCTGGACTATAGTCATGTATATAGTCTGGACTATAGTTATGTCTATAGTCTGGACTATAGTCATATCTATAGTCTGGACTATAGTTATGTCTATAGTCTGGACTATAGCTTTATCTATAGTCTGGACTATAGCTTTGTCTATAGTCAGACATGTCTATAGTCTGGACTATAGTCATGTCTATAGTCTGTACTATAGCTTTGTCTATATTCTAGACTGTAGTCATGTCTATAGTCTGCACTATAGTCATGTCTATAGTCTGGACTATAGTCATGTCTATAGTCTGGACTATAGTCATATCTATAGTCTGGACTATAGTCATGTCTATAGTCTGGACTATAGTCATATCTATAGTCTGGACTATAGTTATGTCTATAGTCTGGACTATAGCTTTATCTATAGTCTGGACTATAGCTTTATCTATAGTCTGGACTATAGCTTTATCTATAGTCTGAACTATAGCTTTGTCTATAGTCCAGACTATAGACATGACTATAGTTAGGAGTTGTAGACTATAGTCCAGACTATAGACATGACTATAGTCCAGACTATAGACATGACTATCGTACAGACTATAGACATGACTTCAGACAAAGCTATAGTCCAGACTATAGTCTTGCCTATAGTCTTGACAATAGTCTTGCCAATAACATTGTCTATAGTCTTGATTACAGTCATGCCTATAGTCTGAAGTATAGCTTTGTCTATAGTCTTGTCTAGAGAGTGGAATATTGTCTTGACTATAGTCATGTCTTCATTCTGGACTATAGCTTTGTCTATAGTATGGACTATTGTCTTATCTATAGTCATGCTTGTAGTATTGTCTATAGTCTTTTCTATAATCTGGTCTATATTCTGGACTATAGCCTTGCCTATAATCTTGTCTGAAGTCTGGGCTGTAGGCTAGTCTATAGTCTAGACTATAGCCTTGTGTTCTTAAACTTAGCTTTGTCTGTAGTCTGGACTATAGCTTTGTGTAGTCGAAACTATAGTTTTGTATATAGTCTGGAGTATAGCTTTTTCTAGTCTTATGTGTAATTAGTCTTGTCTATAGTCTGGTCTGTAGTCTGGTCTATAGTCTAGTCTATAGTATTGTCTATAGTTTTGTCTATAGTCTGGACTTTAGCTTTGTCGATAGTATGGTCTATAGTCTAGATTATAATCATGACTATAGTCTGAACTATAGCTTTGTCAATAGTCTTGTCTATAGAGTGTAATGTAATCTGGACTATAGTCTTGTCTTCATTCTGGACTATAGCTTTGTCTATAGTATGGACTGTTGTCTTGTCTATAGTCTTGCCTATAGTCTTTCCTATAATATTGTCTATAGTCTGGACTATAGCCTTGCCTATAGTCTTGTCTGATGTCTAGCCTACAGTTTGGTCTGTATTCTATTTTATAGAGTAGACTATAGTATATGGTCTGGACTATATTATTTTCTGTGGTCGGCACAATATATATACTATAGTTTTATATAGTCTAATATTCTGTAGTGTTGTATAGTCGATTCGGTAGTCTAAAGACTGATATATAGTCTGTAGTTGCTAACTAATGAAAAAAAAAAAACGTTTTTGAGAATATTAAAAAACGCTACATTGTCAATATTGTTTGTTGTCTGTGTTGTGTTTACGTAATGTATTTCATATTTGCCTATTACCATCTTAGGTTTTTCTTTTTGTTGTTTTTTTTTTGCCCCTTTAGCTTAACATTAATATTATTGTTGCTTTATGTGTGTGTGTGGCTTTATATCTCACCGTCATAATTCTTCACTAGAAATTTTCTTTTGGCAATTTTTTTTGTTGTTGCTACTTTTTGTTCGGCTTATACGACTATTTTGTACTTTTGTTTTAACTGTGTTATTTATTTAACAACAATAATAACAGAAGCAGCAGTAAAAACATTACCAAAACATTATAACGTCTGGGATTTTGTTAAGAAGCCAGTGGGTGCCAAACTTTGTTAAAATGTGTTTTTTGTTATTAGATTTATGAGCAAAAGTAATCATTAAAATTTTATTTATTTTAATGAAAATCTTAAGTAATTTAAGAGGAAGTTACCCATATGTTTTTAAATTTAATGATGAAGGCAAGGGAGGATTTCTTGAACGTAGTTTGTGTTTTTTTTTTTTTTTTTTTTTTGAAAATTTACTAAACTTTGAACTAGTTAAAGTTTATACTTCTATAATTCCCTAATAATTTGATTTTTAGCTTTGCCAGTCTTAAAGTTAGTCTTAAACTTATGTATAACAAAATTTAAATTTACTTCAGTTGCTAATAATAGATTTTATTTTTAATTAAATTATCTCTGTCTTTGACTTTATTTATCCATGTAATTTGATAGTTCATTATTTATGCCATGAGTATGTTTATGGAAGAACCTACTAACATCTTATGCTCTCTTTACAAATATGTATGTATAATTTCTGGCGACTGTCTGGCAATGTCTGGATTGATATTAGACATTTGTTCTGTGAATTTTGATTGATGGTTATATAGGTTTCGTATGCTTATAAGTCTTTGAACTTTGGTTATTGAATTGGAAGTTAAGAAAGTCACATACAGATTTTGTTTGAAAGACCAGGAATATGCAGAATATTAAATTAGGCTTTTAGACAATATTAAATTATAAATGAATGAAATTAATTTTAAAATTTTAGATTTTTTTTAAGTTAGAAAAACATGAAGTTTTTTTATAATTTTAAATTAACCCTTTATCTTTTATTTATTTTACTTATATTAAAAAAGTTTGAGAGAAACAATCTTTTGTTTGCTAAACTAAGCCAAAATTTATATATATTTTTGTTTTTGTGTTTTATCTCCCTTCTGGAAACTATTTTCATAATTACTTTTAAAAATTTATTTTTTTTAATTACATTACATTATAAATCATAGGTTATTTTAACGCTGATTTATTTTTATACTCTTCCCCTTATAGGTAGCAGAGTCGATACTAGTTATCTCCGTCTACCTTTCTGTCTATCTATATGTCTGTTGAAATCCTTGTAGCAGAGTCGATCCTAGTTATCTTCGCCTGCCTTTGTGTCTGTCTATATAAGGCCTGTCCACGAAAAAATTTAACCTTTTAAAAAATTTTAAATTTTCGCAATTTACTCGAAACTCCCTTCATAAGCGTTTGTACAGTGTTTTTGTCAACCACTGTGTATGCTCTTTGCCACTTATTGCGAAAGTCTTGCGTGCGACCTTCTTAGTCATCTTCAATGCTATTTTCATCAGCGCCCAATATCTCTCAATTGGGCGGAGCTCCGTGCAATTTGGTGGATTTGCCTCTTTGGGAACAAAATGAATATCGTGTGTGTTATACCACTCAATTGTGTCTTCTGCATAATGACTTGTTGCTAAATCTGGCCAAAATAGCATAGATCCACTATGTCGTTGTATAAACCTCTTTAACGATCCTTCGAGACACTTTTCGATATAAATTTTTGAGTTTATTGAACCTTGTACGACCACCTCCTTGCACCATAAACCACAGCTACAAATTGCTTGCCAAATCATATACTTCTTTGGGAATTTTTCAACCTTTTTTGGGTAAATTGTGAGTTAGCCCCTTCTCTTTTACCGGCAGTATAAAATTCCAGACTAGGCAATTGTTTAAAATCAGCCTTGCAATAAGTTTCATCATCCATAACAACACAATCAAATTTTGTAATATACTGTTCATACAATTTTCTGGCACGCCTTTTAGCTAACGTAAGTTTTTCGGAAGATCGATCTGGCACTTTAATTACTTTAAATGACTTCAGATTATATCGTTTTTTTACCTTGTGGACATACGATTTTGATGTTCCCATTTTTTTGGCCATATCTCGAACCGAGGTGTTAAGTTTTTGTTTAAATTTTGAGACTATCTTCGCAGCGAGTGTTTTATTGGTGAGTCCTCTTTTTCTTCCCGAACCTGGTTTTCTTTGTGTTGTCAACCCTTCATTGTATCGACGTACCACCCTTTTAACAGTACATAATGAAGCATTTGTCTCCCGCGCCACAACAGAATAACTTGCCATAGGATTTTCTATTATTTTGTATAAATTTTTTTTCTAGTTTTTTCTTGTTCGGACGACATCTTTCAAACGCAAACAAAATTTGCTAAGATCAATAGCACACATGGTTGCTAAGTAA